AGATCAATTTTTGTAAAGATTCTTGCACGTCTAAGTTGTTCTAAGAGACCAGAAATCAAGGGTAACGAACAACGATTCTTCTTTATTACCTTGTTGAGGCCTCGATAGTTCACACATATTCGCAACGAGCCATCTTTCTTCTTCACAAATAAGATGGGTGCTCCAACTGATGATTTTGAATGAAGGATGAAGTTCTTGGCTAGATTCTTGTCGATGTACTTCCGCAACTCCGCCAACTCCGTCTGCGATAGATTGTAGATTGGACCAAAAGGCGGTTGTGCTCCTTCTTGTAAGTCTATGGCGCAATCATATGGTCGATGTTCTTGTAGCATGTCGGCATTCTTCTTTTGAAACACGTCTTTAAAATCCTTACATTGCTCAGGTATACTTGTTGTCGAGATCTTCTCCCTGGTAGTTGGAGCCGCATAAATGACAAACAATGTGCCTTCCTTGGATGATCTTATAAATGCTCTTACTCCAATGAATAAAGATTTCTCTATTTGGGGTTTTCTACTAAGCTTGCTCTTCGGTGGTTTTGTGGAAAAGGTCATCTTCCACAACCTCCAATCTATGGATGGGTTATACTTTTCCAACCAGGAAAGATCAAGAATAACAGGATTTGATGGAGTTCTAATAATATTAAAAATAATATGACTACTATGGCCCTTAAACGTCACTTCTATAGGTTTTGATTCATGGGTGATACTACCAAACAATAAAGGTCGCCCATCTATGACCTCAACGTGAACAAGTTTGGATTTTTGTATTAAAGGGATCTTATGATACTTCACAAATTCTTCGTCTATGAAACAAGCAGATGCTCTTCAATCTAATAATGCTAAGGTTCTCAGTTTCTGAGGGCCAATAAGCAAAAGAATTGTAAAGCAAAAGGCAAGTTGAGCGGAAAGAAAGGAACCTGGTTGTTGTTGCGATATTTCACTGTCTAGCTGTACGATTCCTATTGTGGCTAGGCATCCTTGTTTTCTTGAATAAACGCGCTCCTAGTCCTGATAATACGTCGATTTTGCTTCTTAGGGTAGTTTTCAACTTTGTGGCCTTCTTCACTGCAATACAATCATAGACCTTCCTCCATATGCCGCTTTTTTTCTTCTAGGGTAAGGGATTTGAGACGTACCACATCAATTTACATGTCTTCTATCTCTGAATGTGAATTCACGCTACTTGCCGACATAGTTGGGGCGTGGCGAACCGTATGTTGTCTTGAACGTTGGTCATGGCGGCATTGGAATAGGCGATTATCGTACTTCATAACTTGGCTAATAGCTTCGTTGATCGTTTGTGGATTGAGAAAGTTAACAGCAAATCTTTCACATCATCCTTTAAATCCCAATAGAATTGACTCATTAACGCTTCTTCATCCCAATTGATGTCGCATGCTAATTGCCTGAAGTCCGATGTATAGACTGATGTAGAGTGCATCCCTTGTCGTAGTGAACGGATCTTTGTTGTAGCCCATCGAACCTTGTCGTGTTCACCAAATACTTCCGCAAATGCCTCCAAAAAGGTTTCAAAGTTATTTAGTATGGACGATCGTTTCTCAAACAAAAGAGCAAACCATGATAGAACTTGCCCTGTAAGTAAGGTTCCAACAAGCCCAACATGTGACTCCTCCGTTGGATAGCGTTCGGGTTGTAAAATTGTTGTCAACCTGATTTGATTGACGAGTCCTCGAAACTTGGAATGCGTACCATCAAACTTATTTAGAAGGCTAACTTGGGGCTCCTTATGTTGTAGAACCAGCGGTGCTTGTCGAACCTGAGGCAAAGTTGTTTCTCCAAGTGCAAAAGTTTGAGGCTAGTACAACCTAGATTGTGCCATCCCAGATGCTCCATCATTATGAAGCCTTGCCATGACTCCTTCAATCTCTGCAATTCTTTGCGATAACGTAGCGAGGGCATTCATGATAGCATCCAACTTGGACTCCGAACTTTCCGTCATATTAATGTCTTGGCCTCCGGCCATTCTAAGAGAAGGACAGAAATGATTCTATAAGAAGACAATATTGGTTTAGAGGAGGGTACTCCGCAACCTCTAAAATGCCTGAAGAGCTTCAAAAAAAGGGATAATCCACTCTCTCCAAGAAGAATAAGACTCCAATATTATAACAAAAGAAGTATCAGTTTAGAGGAGGGTAATCCGCAACCTCTAAAATGCTAGTACACTTCCAAGCAAAGGGATAATGCACACTTTAACAAGGAAGAAACTAACTCTGATATCTGAGATGAGTGGAGTCTCGACAAATTATCACGGACACAGAAATATAGTTTTGAGATCTAACAAGAAGTTCAAGAAGAACTGGCAAGAACTAGATTAATCAGATGAATACAAAAATAACACTAGAGAGGTGAGCTAGAGCTCCAAGAGATGTGTTGTCGAGACTGAAGAACTCTTTAGCCTCGATTCTAATATATACTCCTATTTAGGAAGCTTCTCAAGCAACTTCTACCAACTAGGAAGCTTCTAGAAGGTTCCAAAGACTTGCTTCTAGAAGGTTCTAGAAACTTGTCTCTAGAAGGTTCTAAAGACTATGTCCCTAACAATTATGTTATTAAAAATAATTTTTTAATATATATTTAGATTTAAGTAATAATAGTAAAGAATCTAAAAAAACCATAATCAACCAATTAGCTTATAATATAAAAAAATTAGTGTTATATAAATTATTTTCACACAAAAAAATAAAGAACTTAATCTCTTAGGAAGAAAGTTCAAATTAACTATAAGTCTTGTATACATCTAAGTCTTTTTAAATAAAATTAAAAATTTAAATATATATATTTTACTAGATGATTAAATAATCTAAAGAAGATTTTAAAATATCTTATCTATAATAATAGTATTTACTTTCAATATAATATTTTAATGCCACAAGAACACAAAATATTTAAAACTATGCAAAAGACCCAAGCAAAACATTATAATGTGATGTATGATTTTATATTTTAGAAGTAAAATCAGGATAAATAAACAGTTATAATGAGACAAGAGCATGTGAAGTCTACATGTTTATAACGTTGCATATCAAACACTTGATTAAATTCCAATTACAAGCTTAACTTTTAAGGTCAAAGTATATAAGGTTTTCATGGAAAAATATGAGAAAAGAATAGGGAGTATTAGCAAGACTAGAAAAGTTTTATATATTGAATTGAATATTATTTGAAGAAACTATTCAAGTTCATAAAAAAAAAAGAAATCTAAAATTTCTAACTATTCTTTAATCAAACTTATAATTATTTTACAACATACTTTTCAAAAACTTAAGATACAAAATAAACATTTATTTTTAAATAATCTAAAGGTTCAAGGAATATTAAGAATTTTTGAGCTAAAAATTACATAACAACAACTTCTTAATTATGTTAAGGGCTTTTATTAAATTTTACAAATAATAATGCAACAGTAACACAAATCGTTTTTAGAAAAGTATTATAAAAAAATCCACAATCAATATTAATTGAAGTAATATATCATAGTTAAACTACCTTTTTAATACTTTAAGTTATTCATGACAATATCTAAGTCACACAAGAGATTATCAATTAAAAAAAGTATCAAAAATAAAAAATTGATACTTTTTAAAATTAATTTATCAAAAAATTATTACAAATATTTATATAAAACCTTCTTTTCTAAAATATATTTATTTTATTTTATATGAATATTACAAAAAATAATAAAATTATTATTTGTGGTATTTTAAAAAAAAATTAGTTTCAATGGATTTTAAATAGAAAATTTTATTTTTCAAAGAAGAAAAAAAAAATATTATTAAGTAACTCTATGCTTATTTGTAATGATAGAAGAGGTTTGAAATATTTCTTTTCAGATACACAATGGAAAATAGCCCAATTAAAGAAATTAAATTATTTAAATAAAAAGCTTAAAAAATAATAAGTCAATGTATCAATGACTCAACATTTACAATAAAAAATAAAGAAGAAACAATGAACAATACAGTTAATATAATATATAAGTTTGTTCTAATATCATTACATAGGCTATGTATTGATTAGAAAGCTTTGTAAATTTATTTGCAAGTAAAAAATTATGTATTAAATGAAATTGAAAGATAAAATTAAGATTATTTTTGAAAAAAAAAAAGATTAATTAACTATTAGAAATTAAAATTGATATTTTTTTAAAACTAAAAAGATATATGAATTTTTGATATATAGAACTAAAAAAAAATGGAAGTTTTGATTCAAAATTAGAATAAATGTAGAAGGCAACACCAAAATCAAGAACAATATCTTATTACTATTTTGTATTATTTTATTTTCATATTGGTAAGAACATTAAAACCAACAAAGAATATTAAAATTCTTATTTATAATCTCTTATGGAATAGGATTCATTTTATGATTGACAGTAAAATTGCATAAAATATTGGTGATAAATATAAAAATAAAATAAAAATAAAGTATAACTTCTATAACTTAAGTATTATAGAGTTCAAAGAAGTTATAGTAAAATTATTAATAAAATAGGTTATAAATATTTTACAACCAAGTAAATGAAATATAAAAGAATAATGTAGTAAAGGTTAGTGTTGGCTAAATCTAAAGTTAAAGAAAATTAGCTTGCAGCTTTTACCTAGACTTAAATACCAAATCACAACTAGTTTTTAAGTTCTAAAAGTTAGAATGGAATTAAAAAAATATGGACAAAGATATTCCAATATTTTAGTTTGAATCTAGAATATCTTATTATGATATTTGAAATAGTATGTTTCAATGATTCAATTCCAAATGATAGATCCTAAGTTAGAGATATATGAAAAAATAAAATGTTCTTCAGATTAATACAATATGTGTTGATTTTTTTTAAAGTGAAAGTACAGTATAAAATTTTACATTAGAACCAAGAAGAAATAAATTAATTTAAAACTTTCGAGCATTGTAATATAACAGGTGGGACAGTTCCTCGATGGCAAAAAATATTTTTGAAAAAAGAGAAAATAAAGCTATAAAGTGGGAATGGAGAGTAATGCAAAGTGGCCTAATTCTACATACATACTTTATAATGTATGGGATGATGGATTTTCATATATACATGTATAGAGATATGAACAAATAGGAAAGATAGAGAAGAAAATGGCAAGTAGGTAGGCAATGGAGAAATAGCAACTAGCTAGGCAAGAAGTCTAATGGCGGGAATAGTGAACCAAAACAATGAAGCAGTTGCGTGCCACTGAGTCGTCATGCAACTGAGTTGTCTGATCCATTGACTGGTGAAGAAGGGAACGAAAGGAAGGAAAGGGAAAGAAAGGAAGGGAAGGGGAGGGATGGGAAGGGAAGGGAAGGAAAAGAAGGGAAGGGAAGATAAGGAAAGGGAAGGATGGGAAAAGAAGGAAGGGAAGGAAAGAAAAGGAAAGGAAAGGATGGGAAGGAAAGGAAGGGATGGAAAGGAAAGGAAGAGAAGAGGAGGGAAGGGAAGGAAGGGAAGGGAAGGGAAGGAAGGGGAGGGATGGGAAGGGAAGGGAAGAAAAGGAAGGGAAGAGGAGGGATGCAAAGGGAAGGGAAGAAAAGGAAGGGAAGGGGAGGAAGGAAAGAAAAAGAAGAGAAGGGGGAGGAAGGGGAGGGGAGGGAAGGAAAGGAAAGGAAGAGAAGGAAAGGAAAGGAAGGAAAGGAAAGGAAGGAAAGGAAGGAAAGGAAGGAAAGGAAGGGAAGGGAAGGAAAGGTAGGGAAGGAAAGGAAGGGGAGGGAAGGGAAAGAAAGGAAGAGAAGGAAAGGAAAAGAAGGAAAAGAAAGGAAGGGAAGGGGAGGGAAGGGAAGGAAAGGAAGAGACGTGAAGGGAAGAAAAAGATGGGAAAGGAAGGAAAGGAAAGGAAGGGAAGGAAAAGAAGGAAAGCCAAGAGGAGGGAAGGAAAGGAAGGGAAGGGAAGAGAAGGAAAGGTAGGGAAGGAAAGAAAGGGGAGGGATGGGAAGGGATGAAAAGGGAAAGAAGGGATGGGAAGGGAAGGAAAGGAAGGGGAGGAAAGGAAAGGAAGAGAAGGGAAAAGAAGGGAAGGGAAGGGAAGGGGAGGAAAGGAAAGGAAGGGAAGGAAAGGAAGGGGAGGGAAGGAAAGGAAAGGAAGGGGAGGGAAGGAAAGGAAAGGAAGGGGAGGGATGGGAAGGAATGGAAAGGAAGGGAAGGGAAGGAAGGGAAGGGGAGGAAGGGAAGGGGAGGAAAAGAAGGGAAGGGAAGGGGAGGAAGGGAAGGGGAGGAAAAGAAGGGAAGGGAAGGGGAGGAAGGGAAGGGGAGGAAAAGAAGGGAAGGGAAGGGAAGGAAAGGTAAGAGAAGGGAAGGGGGTGGGGTGTTGTGGGATGGTGTCCCGGATGTATCTGTGTGTGTTGCTGGGCGGCTCTCCTGTTGAACCTGCTCTCCCTCCTTCGCTCTCCTCGCCTGTGAGGTCTGTTTGTCTGTTTGCGTCGATCCCGCCGTGGTAACACATCCTCTTCGCCTTCGCGTCCGCTTTACCCCCTCGTTCCTGTGTGTTGTATTCTGGGTTTATTGCGGAAGAACTAGGGGCCTGTGGTCCAGGCGTTGTGGGACGGGAGGGTTAGGGTTTGTGACCATGGTGGAGCTTTCCGCTCTAGCTCAGCCTGTGGAGTTAGGCGCGCAGTATTCTGGCGTGCACTCCCTTAGGATTTTGGCAGCGGTGTCGTGCGGGGCGCCAGTGCTGGATGCGACAGCTTCTCCTCCTGTGCGGCGGAATTTCCACCAGCTGGCACCGAGCACACTGCCGTTGAAGACGAAGATTCGGAAGCGAGGAGGTAGAGGACGGAGCAATGATGAAGGAGATGGTGGAGGTGATAGCGGATACAGGAATTATGGCAGCTGGGGTGGGAGTGGCAATGGTAACTGGGGATGGGATTCTTGGGAGAGCTGGAATGACGATACGCAGCCCTCGAACGAAGGCCCAGGCGCAGGCGCAGGCGCATTTGCTTTGCTCTATCAGGCAGCTTGTTGGCTATCGCTGTCCAATTGCTTGCACTATGTTTTGAAGTTAGCATTTCGCGGTCCAAATATGTACACCATGTGGTTATCAGTGCTAGGTGTTTACATCACTATCTCGCTGTCCAAGTGTGTACCCGACGTGCTTTCATCTTTGCTCTAGAATTGGGGCCGGATCCATGGTTTTGCGTTTTGCGGCAGACCTGTCACTTCTGGTGCAAGTGGCCTACCGCTGGCAAGCCTATGTTTTTAGCGAGCTGCGGCACTCATGTGTTGATATCACGAAGCTGGTTAGTTTAATTTGTGGAAGCGGACCCTCATGGTTTATAGCTTTCAGATTTGGAAAGGAGTTTCGGTTTACATCTTCGAAAGTGGATTCTCATCATATGTACATATCTTTGATTAGGCACAGGTAGGATCTCATAGTGGAATGCCTTCGACAATTTGCTCGATATTGTAGTGTTATCTTCACAAAGCAGAGGCATTCCTAATTCGTCGACATCCATTATCCGTATTGGCTGTATTGTGGTGTATCCATCGGCCGAATGTGTGTAAGTTTTGGAGGATCAAAGAAATGAACGTCCTCTTAAGCACTATTATGAGAAAGACGTATGACTTTCTTAAAATTACTCGGCATTTAGGGAATTCTGCAAATCTTTAGCTTGCTAGCGGTCTAGGCGATACTTTAGGGGTATGGCCAATTTCCGAGAAAATGCCCAGTATTTTGGTGTATATATTGTGTAGATTATTTAGGTTGAGTTTTCGACATAGGGTCAGGTTGTGGTACACGGACTGTAAATCGGTGTGTTGTTAAATATTGCAAATTGTACAAAGACAGTTGAATGTTAAACGTAGTATGTCATTGTATCTCTGTATGTGATTTTTCATATCGTTTTGTTCCCCACTTCACTGAGATTTTGAAGTAATGTATGAGTGTTCGTACCAGAGAGAGTAATCTTCGTTCGTCCTCAGTGGAGCACTTTTTGAATATTAGGTTAGTGAATCTTTTCTTTTCTCTAAAACAGTAAGTTGCACATGATTTATATGTGGATTTAGTTGCATCTATGGCTATCCAACATAGTTTCCGCGATTTTGTTGAGATCCATAGAATCTGCAGTCTGGATGTCAGTCTTTTGGCTTTTATCTTAAATAATCGGTTGTTTCCTGTACAGTGTACTTTTCGGAGTCAAATGTGTGCGTATGAGTTTAGTTTTCTCTTGTTTTTAGTTTACTGTTTTGTATACGCCCCATGCTACACACCAATTTCTGCATGAAGGGAAGTGTCCAATTCCGGTGTTGATATGAAATGATTTTAGTAGCTTTGGGAACAAGTGTAACTAACCCAATACGCATACATCTCGATATTCTACTCTGCTACTTTGATGACGTACATTTTCTGCAATTCAAATGTATCAATTGATATTAATGCATCAATCTTCCACTGCAAAGTCTAATGTATTACATAGAACATTCCCTGTGAAATCCGTGATAACAGAATTTGAACTGTATTTTTAACTGCAGTAAAATCTGTCATACCAATGTTCTTCAATACAGAAGTATTGAAACGCTGTGCACAAGATGTCAGTGTCCATTCAAATGAATCATAACACGGAACCTCATTAATTATTATCTAATTCATCTTGAATTTGAAGTACCACAACTGACAAAGCCATTCTTTTGGAGCAAAATATATTTATATAAGTGCTAATTTTCTAAAATTAAAATGTAAAAAATCATATTGATTTTTTTGAAATAAATGTCTATGAATATTTTTTGGAGTACAATTTATTTATTTATTTTCATTTCATTGTTTCCAAACTATGTGTTAATAAAAATGAAAGGTGAACTGGTCAATTCTGATGGTTGCAGATTCATTGCTTTGGACTTCCATTTACATGTAGAGTTTCCTTCCCTCTTTCATGTTCACTCATACATGGTATTCTGATTATGAGAGTTGATAGTCCTTGTAGCAAGTTGAAAATTGAACTTTCATATGGAAAGGAATTGATGGGAGCAAGAAACACCTATCCATACTTCAACAATTTTTGGGCATATTGTTCTTATTTTGTTAATACAATTTTTCTAGTAGTAAAGGTGGCTCATCAAATTGGTGAAGGGTGAGAAAAACTTGTCTTTGAATGCAAGTTTGTTCAAATGTTGTGTTAACAAGTCCACATCAAATTCTTAACAATCCTACTAAGCAAATATTCTAGATTTGAGTGATTAATATGCGCAAATGGCGAATCATGTTTCTTGTGCCAATAAAAAAAAATTAATATATTAACATTTTTACTAAGAAAGAAATGCATCAAAGAATTTTTAAAATGTTCTAAATTTTTTTATTCCTAGTATGATGCTTAAAAATAAGAATATTAAAATAAAAAAGTAAAATTCTAATCATAATGTTGCTAATTGATACATGAATAAAAATAAATGAAATAGTGCTTATATCATCAAAATCTATCTTCAATATATTGCAATGAAGTATAAAGATTTTATTAAAATATGCTTTCTTTTTATTAGTAGTTTTTAACTTTTGGAATTTGTCCTAAAACTTTAGTAAAGGTAACTATTAAATTTAAAATCTTTAAAAATATTTAGTATTGCAAGTTGCAAATCTCTTGGTACATACTTAATTTTTATAACAAAATATGAATCAAAATGGATAAATGATGCTTGTGGCTCTATTACTATCTATGTAATATGCTATTACTTTTAGACTAAATTTAATATCATAGAATTTTAAAAAAATTAAGATTGACTATTTTATTTTTTAATATTATAATTAAAAGTTTGTATTAATTAGTACTATTTAACAATTGTCCTAAACATACATATTTACTCCTCTAATAACCTAAATAATATGAGTAGATAGAAGTATATAAAAGTAGATAAGTTTTATAATATCTTAAGGAGAAGCTTCATAGACATAAATTTGCCTTTATATGTATCTATTAGTGATTGATAAATTAAAAATTTAGCCAACAAGTTGATAAAGTGTTGCATATGTTGACAACTTGTGATAGAAGTTTAACAAGTGGCACACATATAAAAATCTTGCATTGTAAATTAGACATAAGTCTTATAAGTTTGAAAGGTATTAGAGGTTCTATATAACATCGCAATGTATCTCCTAGTTAGAGTCACAAACATACACATATAAACCAATAATAACCTATATGATTTAGATAATAGTAGAAAAAATAGGTTAATTCTATAATATCTTCTATAGAAGCTTCCTAGAAGCTTCATAGATGTTGCTTTGACTTTATAGGTATCTATAATTGACTTTTTAAGTTATAAATATGGTCAATAAGTTAGCCATGTGCTACACATGTTAGTAAAATATAAAAATAAAGTAGTATGTATATTAAAATGAAATTGAAATGGATATTGCCAAATGACCAAGAAATAGAGACTCTCAAATCTAGACTAGAAATAAGAAAGGAGTTGACAACTAAGAAGAAGGCTTCATTCTTGCCTCTTTTTATACTATCTAAGTAGGAGCTATATGGCAATGTTCTACAAGACCTCTAATATGTGCTAACTTTGCAAAACACACGCTTTACCTTATAAGGCAAGTTTTATATGTATAGGATACATACTTAGCTTGTTCTTTCTGCTTGACTTGAGCAATTTTAGATATTTATTTTTCAAGTATTATCATAGTAGTGCTTATTGAAATGAAGAGTGCAATGGCACAAATGCAAGAGTAATTGAGGGAGTTGATGCTTACAATGCATCAACTTTGTTTACCACCATAAGCAGCAATAAGAATGGCAAGAAGTGAAGATATAGATATGATTGGAGCTGCTTCAATATTTGCATCCAATCTGTTGAAGATTAGCAAGTACTTGCTTAGTTACAACCATATAGAGATTAAGCATAGTATGATGCTAATAGTAAAAAGACAGCAAAGAGTTAAAATAAGTTATTGTGGTGGCACCATGAGATTAGTTGGATGAGGTAGAAATGGATGTAATATCAAAAGGATAGAAGTTGCCTCGTTGGTGAGCAAACCACCACCTATAAGTAAAGAGTGTTGGAAGTAAGAATTATCTTTCTCCACACTTCTCTTAACTTACAATCCTTCTTGATACTAAGTATTTGTAGCTTTTAAACTTCTTTTCTTCAATAGATTATGGGCCCACTCACATGTGCTTGAGTATTTTTTGAAGTTCTTTGAAGTAATTTTGTAAGTGTGGAGTAGATCAACTTGTTGTTGCTGATGTTAGGCTTTAGAAGAACCTAACTTTCAGATTTAGCTCTAGATCTAAATCATGGTTTGCTCTTACTTGTGGTTAAGAGCATTTTGGTATTAGTGTCTTGTTTTTCACCTATAGACAAAGTTTTCATTGTACTTTTGCTAAGATAGATCCTTGGTAATCTAACTTTACGATTTCATGTCCTAAAGTTGTTGATTGTGCTTAAAAAACCTCTTATGGTGTATAGAGGTGTTTTGTAAGTATATGAGAGATATTAGAGTGGCAAATCAGATTTGTGACACTTAGATAAGTCATCATACTTGTGAGAAGTCTTGGAAGTGATGTTGACACTGTTTTTGAGAGTTAAAACACTAGTTTGTTTACAAAGAAGGATTCTGGGATTCTAAGGCAACAAAACCTTCTTGCTGATTTTTGAGAGCATTAGGACTTCTTCTTACAATCTTTTCTGATACAACTCTTTCTTAGACATGGCTTCAAGTGAATGTGAAGGATTGAGAGTTATTCAAAAGTTTAGAAGTAAAAATTTCTACCATTGGAAGGTAAAAATAGAGCTTTTGTTGGCATCTTTGAATCTTTGGGATATTGTAGATGAAAGTGAAGAGGCTCCAAGCAAAGATGATGATTTGAAAGAGGAGAAGGAGTTAATATGTCGTGAAAAGAAGGCTTTTGGATTGATTGCAATCAATGTGGATGAAGCCAACTTCTCCCACATTATCTCTTGCAAAGAACCAGTGGAAGCATGGAAGACACTTTGCAACATCTATGAGAGCAAAAAATTATCCAACATCATCTATACAAGGAGGAAGTTCTTCACTTGCAAGATGGAAGAAGGTGAAGACCTCATGGCTCATGTCAATAAGGTAAAGGCTCTTGCAAACCAACTTGCAATTCTTGACAAGCCTTTAGAAGAAAGTGATATTGTCATAACCTTGCTAAT